CTTAGTGAACTGGCTCACGTTTTACTTTGATTGCCCTTAAAAGCATGTAAACATCGATGTTTATCTTTTCCAATGGGCTCTTCATCTTTTCACAATGTATATATTTACACTTTTCATTTCATAAATAGGAAATGTGCAGATAGCGTATTGACTTGTGCTGGCATATTCCTCAGCCCATTACAAATCCACATTGGCACATGGATTTCTCTGGTATATTTTATTTTTCGCCTTTTTTTGGCATTCAGCAAAATTATACTTGAATGTGCAGGTGCTAGTTATAGCGTTCCATTGGGTCGGTTTACACTTGACTCATTCTGTGTTTTTCACTTTTCGAACTATTTATTGCAAATGCATTCAAGTCATTCGAGCCATTAATCTTTGTTGATATTATACCTAACCCTCTAAATATCAGGTGAAAATAGGCAACTCCCTTCGTTGTTCATCGCTTTAGATCTTCTTAATTGATGAACCGATGTATATATATCAACTCTAACAATAGTGACACTTATTCAGGCGTTTTTACCTGAATTGAATGATGAAGTTTACCATCAATATAAGTAACTCAGTTTGCTATTTGCTTTTTTTCTGAAAACATCCCCAGTAATTATGTCAAATTTAGGCTTATCTTAGACTGTGAAGCCAATCCTTAAGCTTTGGTTCATGCAAATGGTCATCTTTATCTTTCTGCATCTTTCTTGGCTTCGTCTTGTAACGAGAACGAATAATAAATCTCGTTTAAGATGCTTTATAAGTAAGGCGGTTATAGGGCTTGTGACCAATGCTCTTTTCTTTAATAAAAGCTCTAGCCACACTTTCGCATAAGGTGATGAAATGGCGATAGTCGAGGTTTTCTACAAGGATAAGAGTAGACCTCAAAACTCCATTGAATTTTCCCCATCCTTGCCTTCTGAAAGGTATTATAATCAGAGAATTTCGACCCCACGTCGATCTTATTCGCACCTGTAACGGTAACCATTCCGGGGTGATGCAGCATTTATTTTTGACATATTGGCACTACGTCAAACTTCCACGGGGCCAGTAGGTTACAGGGCAGACGCGAATTTCAAGGCAATCCAGGCCTCTCTCATCTAGTGAGATTGTCGATGAGGCATTACTATAAACTATTTTACCCTTTTTATGATTAATATTCAAGATAATCTGATAATTTTGAAACCTAATTCATCATGGGTAGAGCTATTAGCCAAATTGCTCTTGGTTGCCATTATGCTCACTCATTTATATTTCTCCATTTGCCATTTTTTTTAATCTCGCCAGCTTTATCGTAGAGTTTTGCCGGATCACGCGCAACGATCTTGTCATTCTGATGCAACGTCGAAGGGCTGAGTTAACGCACAATCTCATCATCTTTGCAATGCAGCGCACGATTGCTTTTGAACAGGGTCTCTCAAAGATCTGCACTGGTGCTACACTCTTGCCTTCAGAGGCTAAATCTGGAAAAGATAATGAATCAGGTTTATTGTCCTCCAAGGGAAGTTTGGAAAAGCAGGTAGAGGAGACTTCGAAAAACCCATTTGATGCCGAAGGCGAAGACGATTCCACTGATGGTTCTGGAAAAGATGAACTTTTGCCTCGACAGCAGCAAAGTGGCTCTTTTGACGGAATTATCTCTAAGTGATTTTATTTCACTCTCCCTATATTCCACTTAACGCAAATTCGCCTCTCGAAATTTTATAGTCTTGTTTAATTGGCCAAATGAAAGACTTTCTCTTTCCTCATGAATGCATTAGTCACCTAGCTCAGATGCATCAGATATATATGACAAAAGTTATTCCTATTGACTGGCTTTGTATAGTGGCTATCCTATAAACTAGCTACCTGTTTTTTATCACGGATTGGGGCCCTTTTTTATTACTTGTTGTCCCTTGAGAATTGTATTGAATGATTTACAAATGTTGCATCATTACAAAGATTTATCTGTGGTTACGTCACCTATCAGTCTCGCATAGTATTGACAACTCATTAAAAATGATGGCCAATATCAGTTGAAGTTCATATATATATATATATATATATATATATATACTAATGTCAGAATAATTTGGATGCAGACGCCGTTTATCCTGTGATTTAAACCATAGGTCTGGAAATGTTCGCTTAACCGGGTAATGAGACAAAAATATAGCTATATAAAATGCCCTTTTGGAAGACTTTTTATGATTAAATTCAACTATATAATCAAGCCTTATATTCAATTCATAGAATGCATTTTATGCCACAATATCTCGAATGTCAATTGACTAATCAAGACTTTCTTAGGCTTAGACCACATGCATCCATAGTTTGAAGAAGTTATTACTATTTATTATCAACTTTGATTAGTTTCTTCATTAGAGGAAGTTTGTTTTCGTCATCACAACCGAACGGATCTTGTTGATTCCATATTTAACCCTTTTATACGAGTGGAGGGATTTTAGTGGTTAATCCAACCTCATTGCTGCTAGATCAATATTATTATAGTTTCGCCCAGGATTTTTTTTTACTTTATGTGATTTTCTTTTTTGATAATGTATATTTCCTAATATACGTTTACTTGCAAATATACTTACGATCCAGATGCTTTGAGCCATACTTCGATATATACCTGCGGCACGTCGAGTCTGCACTCCATGAACAGTTGCAAAACCGGCTCATTGGTGAATTCACTGTGAATAAGTCAAGTCTGTGCAGTCATGACTACGGCGAGGTTTTCAAGGAGACCAAAGGTATGCCCAAATGCTCATTGCGCTCGCTTGAGTCCTTTTTATTATGAACCACCATCGATCTAAATTTGGTATTCAGGCTTTATGAATTGTACCGACTGTGGTAATTTTGCTTGCTTTCTGCATTAATATAAACCTGGAGTCAGTGCTTTTGAGGCGGTTAACAATATTTAGAGCATTAGGAGGGTCGTTGCAAATTGATCTTTGAAATTGGCCATTGACCAGTTTACTGTTCAACCATTGTGGCGTCTTCCTTCCCTCCTATCCTAGTTTCTAGCGTTGTTTCCTCACTATAAAATCTACACCCTTTGGGACATTGATCTATTTATGCCTTTGTTTGTTCCAATGTTGTCTAAGTAATAATGGGTTTACTAAGGTGTAATTTCTTTTACCACTGTTTCAAGATACCGTTTATAAGACTTTTAAAACATAATCAACACTTCTATTCATCAACTTCTCCCTTCTGCTAATGAAAGTCACCTTATCTAACTAGCCGTCTATACCCCGCATACGTCACATAAATAGCTAGGATAATGCGTTGTGTGGTACTCTTAGCAACGATCGCTCTCAACTCTGAATTAGTTTGCCCAATTCTTCACACAGTTCAACATCCTTTAATTTTATGCGTCTTCCTTATTCCGATCTTTTGTCTGTAGTTAGGGGGAAATTGAATTTTGTGGAATTTTCCGGGTTAGGATTTCTTTCGAAATATTTATCGTTTAAGGTTCTTATTC